CGGCAAAATGACTTGCACTCACATTAAGGCCTAAGTTCCTTCTACTTAATGCCCTTTAGCCTCTCCAAATCTCTCAAAAACACAGAAACAGACAGAAAAGCTCAATTCTGTTAAGAGCACTTCAAAACACATTGGGAATAATGTATGTCACTGTTTTTCTAGGTTAAGAAAATTTTTTGCTGCTATATTGAGGTTACTTTATTCATTTTTGTTATTCTCATTTTGTCAATAAAATATTAACATGTTTGTCTTTCTCTATTATCAGAACCAATTAACAGAAACAGATGGCAGCAAGTGTACAGATAGCTGGTGGTTGGAGAAAGAAAGGTTGCCAGTAGCTTTTTGTTGTCATACTTAAAACTGGAAAGCTACAAAAACTATCATGACACGTGTTATCAAGATTATTTTTAATGGTTTTATGATGTGGGAACCCATTTTCTCAAAAATCAAATTATAATGGAACATCAGATTGAAGTCAACTGTAATGGTCACAGAACAATAGAACTTGAGATGTGCTTAGGGACCTGTAACATATTTAAATACTCTTACTTTTCTCAGGCTGAAGAAAGTATATTTTTAGACAAAGCACCCATTCCCCATGGCAGATATTTTAAAATAGTTTAATCTGAGTGACCAATATAATATCACAGCACTTGTTCACAACAGCATGAGGATGTTAACCTTGATGGCTCAGAGTGCAATGCTTCTGTAGCTCTGTCTGTGAAGGAGCAGTGCCAAGAGATGTACACATTTAATCAAATAATACTTTCCTGCAGTTCCTAAGAAGGATTTAATCAGCAATATTTTGATCAGGTAAGTCAGTTTGGCAGACTATATATCTTGTGATTTAAGTTACAGGTCAACTGATTGTTACCAGCTGTGATATCAGTACTGAGTCACTGAGCAGCATTTAATCAGTATATTTTTGTTAATTCATGGTTTTGTCATATTCTTACCATATCTTGAAAATGCTGATCCCTATCATTCTTGTCTATTCTCTCCCCCCCAAAACCAAAAAATATACCAAGTACAAGGGGTTCTTCCTGAGCAGATCCATATTTTGTTTTTAAAACTTTATTTAATGAAAAAATATAATACACAGACAAGTGATTTTATTTCATGAACATAGCTGGAGAATCTGCAACGTACTTTACAAATAATCGGTCTGTTTATGATGTACTTATTGCTAAGCTACAGCAAATTAAAGAAAAAGATAACATGAACAGTTAAAACAGTAAAGTAGCTCATATTCCAGTCATTAAATCTTAGCATTGAAAAGCTAGATGTTTCTCTAGTAATTAATCTCCAGTATTGCTTTAACATTTTCAGTGCAAATAATATTTCATTACTCCAACAATACTAGCTTCTAAGCCCAACTTTTTTTCCAGTATTTTTTTAAAATGGATATTTTTAATCACCTGTTCAGACTGACAATATACGTATTGACAGGAGCTATCCTGACATCCCAGCAAACGCCTCATATTTAACTTCTTGCTAAAGGCTCTTTGTAAAGCAGTGATGTCCAAAACGCTTGTTCATTGTTTGAGTTGGAAAACAGAACTGCAAAATTGCCACTTGTCACCTTTACAAAAAAGCGGGGGGAAAGGACAATTCCAAGAGTCATACTTAAATCTTTCTACAAGCCTCTTCCCACAAGAGGCGCCTTACAGTTTTCCCTTCTCCAGGTGCTTTCTGAAAATGAAGGGAGGGGAAATAATTTTTGCAGGCATTGTGATCTAATGTAGTTCCATGATACCGAGAGAGAGGGAGGCTTCTTGGGCACCCCAAAACTCCCTAATGCCACAAGAGGCACCTAGACCTGTAAGCCAACTGCTGTAATTCAATTAACACAATGTCATGAAGCCATGTGGACTATTAAAAAGGGGAATCATTGTGCCCTTCCCTGCTGCCGTACGTAGGACGAGAAAATGAGATGACAACATTTGTTAGACGTTGTCTGGAGACCTCAAATGCATTCTGTGTAGGCACCTGCAAAAATATGATTTAGTGTGGTTTTGTCTAGTTAGATCAGCCAATCTAAACAATAACATTTTCACTCTAGGAAAACATGTTCCCCAGTTGATTTTTTTCCCCCCAATGGAAGAGCCTACCACGTAACTGAAACTACCTCTTAAAGAAGTCCAATTGAGAAGTGCTATGCACCAGGTCACCTCCAGGAGGAATTAAGCTTTTTTAGAAAAAAAAAACATGTACTTTCATATTTTCAGGAAAACAGAGTCACTGCTGACATTGGCTTCTTTTTATGATTTTTGCAAGATCCCAACCTGTTCACATGTCTTCTGGATCTCAGGTCTTTTAAAAAAAAAACTCTTAGTTGAACACACACAAGAAACAATCACATTATTCTGCCGTATTAGCAGCTTGCATTGCTAACAAATATGTGGTACGGATGAGTTAACAATTGCAACAGACACAGTGTTATACATTTAATTTTAATGAAAAGCATTTAATTGTGCTTTGTAGAGCAGTCCTACATTTTTGTATCAAACAACCACCCCCTCTATTTGAAAGGGGTCACTGAAGAATGTGGTTTTCCAACATAGCATAAAAATAGTTAACTATTTTTTCCTCTAAAATTTACATATCCATGTAAATATATGCACTCACAGCAATGTTGTAATTGAACAGGATACAACAAAGCTCAGGATTAGCTCAACTATTCATTGTGTCTCTAATTTCTTTTGAGGGTCGTTCTAAAAGACATTTACATACAATAAGTGGGCTTAGGAAAAGGAAGAAAGGGAGAAAGAAGGGAGAATAAGAACGCTCAGAAACAATTCTGTTTGTTTTAGGGCTTATTTACAAAAAAGGAAAAAAAAAGAGAAAAAAGAATCTCTTCAGTTTAACAATAAATAAGCCTGATGTTATCTAAAAAAAAAAATGTTCATGCACATTTTAAAGTGAAAACATGCCTGGAAATTATTTACATAGGGCACAATCCAGCAGGATAAGTATTTCACATGCCCGGTCAAATGAATTGGTGCAATTTACCATCACTTTGCACAGCTTTTTAATGGGCCTTGTGCATCAAGCCATGCTAGTATGATAAGAGTTCACACTTGGCTTCTATTTCCCAAATCCCACAATCTCACAGCAGCAGAAAAGTGCATTTCCTCCTCCACTGTTCTTTTGCATTGTCTATTTCCAATTGCAGATCGTTCATTCTAGCTTCTGTGGAATACATCCTTCCATTTCCACAACTTCCGGCCATCCTTCATACTTGTTGGTGTCCTTGTTGTTTTTAATATGCTGCAAAGAGAAAGCCATTTCAATTTAAGTATAGTTAGTGTAGCACTGAAACACAAGATTTTCTAACTTACAAAAAAACAGTATTTATGTTGGGTGGTACAAAATTATACATCTTGCTGCATTTTCCCCAAGATGAGAAATATAAAAAAAAGAAAAGTTTTAGAGTAAAGAACTTCAAGCTGTATGAGATAAGAGCTAATAAACAATGCTCTTAGTCTGAATATTAGCATAGAAATCAGCGTTAAGAATTTTCTGCTATTGTTTTCAAATAACATATACACAGAACCTACTTATTTTCCTTCTAAGAATCTATAGTGATTGACCACCATTATCATAATGTCAGGGGTTAAGGAAAAGCAATTGGAAAACAATACGAAATATTAGGACTTGCAGATTGAAGTTGAATGAAGTTGACATTGAAAAGAAATCTATTGTTAACCAATCATGATTGAAGCCCTTGCAGTAATACTTAAAGGACTTCCTTGATATCTGGAAACGTTGAATTTTTCAGACCTGAACATCCTAATTTACAAAAAAAACAATCCTGATTAGAATTGTCTGTGCTCTTAAGTGCTACCCTAATAATTCTTAGATCCTTATTAGGACTTGAATTATTAAATTTCCACCAGTTTTAGACTAACTGTAGGTTATCCATACATAATAACAACATCTGCCTATCCCAGGTTCTTGAGGAGGACTCAGTAGGTGGATAAAAACACCAAATCCTGTCTAAACACCTGGATTACTCTGCAACCATAATTATAAAACAGTAATATGTAGTAGTAGAATCAGAAGTAATTTAGTAGCTTCAAGCAGGAAAAATGGCACCAAAATAACACATCAGGAATAGAAATTGTTAAGATGCTCAAAGGACAGGGGACAAATGAATATTCACAGTGAGAACATTTACATTTCATTTTCAAAATCTTCCACAAACCATTGATATGACCCTAGGAAATTTTGAGCAAGCCACTAAGACTGTTCAGTGATACAGAATTGAAGGGGGAGTGGTGATTTTGAGCACACATGTGCTCATGTACCATCCAACTGCAACTTGATATACATTTGATTTAAGCAGAAGCTCTCCATATTGACTCCAAAGACTTTTCTTCTTCAAATCCAAGTCAACCCTCTTCCTAATTCCAATCAAGTATCTTTGCAGTTGTTGAAGTGTATCTCCCAGATTAGCTGAGGTTCTGCTGACCAAAAGGAATCAGCAAAACTTCCAGGATGCAATGTAGGTTTTGGGCTCAAAAGATGCTCCAATATGTCATCTAAACGTTAACATGAAAAAATACCTGTATGTATATATATATATGGAAGATGGCTTGATCTTTTTATGTTTTGTTTGTTTATGTTTGTTTTAAAAACCAATAAAAATTACAAAAAAAAACCCATACCTGTTCAAAAGGGCTTTTAGTTTTGATTCCTTTCCCACCACAGAAAACCCAATTGTCTCTGAAGCCAAGCGTCATGATGGATGTACTCCCCAAATCTGATATTAGCTTCCGTGCCTCTTCAGTAAGCCTTCAACAGAATTTTAAGAATTACTACAGAAATGTAATATTATCTAAAATATAATCTACCAAATTGATTCATATAAATACTTTGTTTCCTATTTATTGAAAAATCCTCTATTTGTACAGATAATGTACACTTTCACACTTATGTGCATTATTCAGCAACCTCTGCTGAACAATGACGACCCCCTTTTGAAAATGATCACATTCTTGGAAGGACAACATGTCTCCCTTTCTAGCTCTTATCTAATTGTAACCTACTAGAAAGCAAATATGACAAATAAGTATTGTATTTCCAACAGACTTACTTAGTGGCACCATCGTCATATGTTGCCATTAATACAATAGTTCCATCTGCAAAACTCTTCAGAAATTCAATGAATGGGGCTACATCTACACCAAATGGAAGCACAACAACGTTTAATATTTATTAAATTTATACAGCTGTTCATCTTGCAAAGCGACAGACATGATAACAAACATTAACATAACAACAAATGCCAAAAGGCAAAAAAGAACATAAATTATATATGACTATCAAAAAAGAAATGCCACTCCATTTGATTTACAAGATTTTCATTCCAACCTTACATTTTAATTCAAAATATCTAATGCAAAATTGAAAAGCAACATTTGTCAAGTTTTGATTATTAGAATTACTTTAACTTTAATGAACTGAATTTAATTAATAAGCATGCTAATTTCTACTTTAAATAAGTGAAGTAAAATAAGGTATACATTATTTTATAAAATAAGCAAATATTTCTGCACTTACCTCCCCCCCACATATCAAAGAATTTTGTGTCCACTACTTCACCGGTTTTGCCTAGCAAAAGGAATAACATAGGATATCAATAAATCACCATATACTGTTTATGAAGAAGTAATATATAAAGATAAAAAGAACTGCTCTATATTAATGGGTTTATAATAAAAAGAATAATCTGGAAACATATATATATATATATATACACTCAAAATCAGATAAGGGCTAATATGGCTTTGTTTGTATAGAATGGCAAGTGCTATCATTAAAACATGTTGTATTAGTGACTTGTGCTTGGCAAAATCTTTCACCTCTTAGTAAGTGGCAAATACTGAATTCGCTGAAGTACATTTTTTATCTTTGTATACAGTAACATTAATCTTTAGCAAGAGCAAATATTTATCAGGGGTGCTGCCTTTCAGATTCTACAACTGGGCAAATTTGACAAAATAATTATTTCCAAAGATATTTAGGATCCAAGACCCTCTTGGAAATTAGCACTTTGATCAGCTAATGAAAATGAGAGAGTGGCAGCATTCCCTTTTTCTAGCATTGTTTTTAATTTTTATTGACACCCCTCATCCCACTAGTAGCAGGAACAAGTTCGGCCCAGAAGAAGCTTCTCACTTCTTATCAGTTGATAGCCATTTTATGTTAAATTAATGCCTTAATTTCCAAGAGAACAAACAAATCAATTAAACATATTCCACCTTTAAAAAAAAAAACTCAAGTTAAAAAAGAAAGATAAAGATGACTTCTGCTGACTGTATAGTCAGCATCCATAATTTTCTTGACAGAATGTGGCTTGCTATATTTTCAGGTTTTTTTTAAAAAAAAATTGTGTCAGTCAAGAAATCCATCCTTAGCTTCCTTTCTGAGCCTAGTAATAGGCATTGCAACCCTCTGAAATTTTGTTTGATTATTCTACAGCCAAGGAAAGCACACCCTTATGTATTAAAAATAAACACAGTTATTTGTGTTATCAATACAGCACCATCCATAAACAAGTTAAACACACACTAAACCAGGAAGTGAAAAAAAGGGGAAATGTGACAGTGGCAGAACCAGTCAAGAACGAAATATTATAACTCTGAGCTGCAATAACTGGATCTATTTATAGATATGGAAAATGGATACTGGCTTAAAGTGGCCCTGCTTCCATTGGAACACTGGAGGAAGGAAGCAGAATAGTCAAACAACCAAAATCTGTTAGTCTAAGGCAGGGGTGTCAAACTCAAGGCCCGTGGGATGGATCCGGCCAGCGGGGTGCTTTGATCCGGCCTGTGGGGACGCCCTGGAAACAGTGAAGGACCGACCCATAGTGTCTCTTCCAGCAAAAACGGAGCGAGGGAGGACTGCAGAGGGCTGCGACGGCCGTCTGCAGCCCTCTGCCCGTGAAAGCGGAGCTCAGTTTTCAGGGGCAGAGAGCAGTAGGACATCGAACTGGCCATGCCACGCCTGCCATGCCACCCCCTGGAGGTCAAACACAACCCTGACGCAGCCCCTAATGAAATCGGGTTTGACACCCCTGGTCTAAGGCTTATCATCATTGGCCTGTTTGGGACTAAAGTAATCCCCGCCCTACCCAACAAGCATGTCATCTGAATAGATGAGCTGCTTTATGTGGAAGACACAAAGTCCTGGAGTGGCATCACAAAAATGGAATATTTGGAGCTACTACAGTTCTTAGATACTCCCAGATAAGTTTGGGGAGGAGGGAATTGAAAAGGGGGACAAAATGTGAAATGGATATGACACTTTGATCCTGTCCACAATTAATGAACCAATCAATTGTGCCAGAGTAAAGAAACAAGGCACAGAAGTGAGAAGAAAATGCTCACATTTGAACATCCTTTGGAGAGGCCCCTAATTATGGAAGAAGATAAATAGCTGCAAAGAGGATGTCTTGGTCAGACATGTACAAACACTTACCATTTACTAGGGCTATATTAATTCCCCTCCCCACGTTGTTTTTAACACCACTCATCAAGCTGAAACAAAACAAATGAAGGTAATTACAACCAGCTTTTCGTCTTGTTAATTTCTCCTGATTAACAAGCACACCTTGGAAGGGGCATGACTCTTGCCAACAAAAAAGTCCACGAGAAATGTGGCCACCCTTCTCAGCTGTTCAGAAAGGTGGCCACATTCCTTGTGGATTTTTTAATTTGTTAAATAAAATCTGCACAAAAGTTGCCCCCTCTCTTTACCGCTGTCGTTTTAATTATCACCAGACAAGCTTCTAGCATATGAAGAACAGCAGAACAGACTTCCTTTCAGCTCGAATCAAGTCAACTGAATTACACAATTAGATCTACTCAGCTATGGAAAGCAAGAAATCATAAAACAGAATCTACAGAATTAGACACAAGAACCTTCCTTGCCCCTCTCATAGGAAACATCTTGAAATGTAGCAGCAAAGTGGCCACAAATGAGTTAATTGAACTCATAGCCCTTTGTTCTTAAGAAACTAGAACCGTTTTTACTGTTCTGTAATTCCTAACTGAACAAGGTGATAATGTCGGGCATTATCCCTGATTATAGTTTATGTACAGAATATGAAATAAAAGTATAAAGCTCAATATATTTTATTGCTCTCTGTTTATATTAAATATTTAATATAAACAGAGCAATAAAATATTGATGTGATCTTGGGGGCTTTACATAGTTTAGTATAAACTGATCTTTCCAGTGAGGTCTTTTCCCTGTGGTTTGGATTATGTTCATAGTGACTGGGAATAATGGGAATTGTAATTCAACGGTTACAATTCCCATTATTCCCAGTCACTATGAACATAATCCAAACCATAGGGAAAAGACCTCACTGGAAGGATCAGAATCGAACATCTCAGCAAAAGGCATTTGAAAGAGACATTTAGTAACGCAGAGGATTTACCACAAGAGGGGGACAACACATCACTTTTAGATTTCTACTCAAATATTGAACTGTTCCTGAAGAGTGAAAAATAAAGGGCAGTAAAATACCATTCAATGATTTATCAGATGAGATTTGGAGGCATATTAACATTTCATGCAATTCTGAGGGAACATTTCGCTCACCTAGAGGCGAGTTCTCTAATTTGGCAGCTTCCAAGTGTGTGGACTTCAACTCCCAGAATTCTCATCAGAGCTATGTTGACTATGGAATTAGGGGATTTGAAGTCCAAACATTGGTTAATGCCATCAACTGAAGTTGGAGAAAAATGCCCATTCTTTGCCACAGATATTCTTCCACGTCTGGCTTGACTAGGATGGGTTCAAAAAATGAACAAAAGCTTTGAATCTGAGTCTACAAGGAGAGGGAATTTCTACTTCAAATATCACTTCAGGAATCAAGATAAGCAGAATGTTTAAAAGCTGTTATCCTACACTTGGCTGCACCAAGGTTTGAAATCACAAGCTTGACTTGATAACTAAGCTTACGGAATTGTGTCCCACAATGAAAGAACCACCTGGAGCCTTTGAACTTGACATCCAGTTATGCTGAAATATCTTCCTGATAAAGCAGGAATTTGAGTTTTAATCAAAACACAAATCAAAACGAAATACTTCAATTAGATGTGCAAGACAGATTTGTGTGTATGTGTGTGCCTATTTCCAAAAACCATTTGTATAGGTCAGGATGCTGAAAAAACAGAAACTGCTAAACAAAGACCCCCTAGAGGTAGAATGGAGGCAACCTCTGAGTGAATTAAATCTAGCCCTTTGTGGCCAATTGCTAAGGGAGGGATAAGGCCAGTTGATAAAGAAGATGTAGAAACCCTGTCTTGGGAGATTCTGCAAGCAAATTGCAGAAGATGGCATTCTGCCTTGGAAGCAAATATTGAATTTTTTTTTTAATTAGGTCAGGCCAATATATTCTGCATTAGGAGAGAACTGATGAAAACTCTGCCCCTGATCCTTAGGGCATAATGAGAAAGACATTACTTTATTGTTACAAATGATTCTCATATTATCATCAGATCCTCTTGAATTGATGCACAGCCATTTATTTAAAATGATTGTTCTGAAGAATTCCAGAGCATTCCCACTCAATATGTTGATTCTGATAATCTGGATAACCTGTAAATGGTTTGACAGCAATTTTAGAAACTTTCCTGAACAGAAAGTTATGTGTGGTCTTTCAGACATGGCCTGATTCCCCCAAAACATGACCTCTGAAACAACATGACTTCTGAATGGTTTCAGAAAATTCACTTCTGGAAATTGCTAGACCACTCTGGAATGGCCGTATCAGTATGGGTTGGAAAGAGAACCAAAGGTTCTGGAGTTTTTCTGAATATTCTCCCTGCTGTAGAACAGAATGAAAAATCTATAATGAAACCTCTCCTAAGTTCAAGGACATATACATGGGTTAGCTCATTTTACATTATTTACACAAAATAATGCTATGAGAGAGAGTCTGCCCTACAAGATAAACCAGATTAAGAAACCAATGCCAACCGTTTTTATTATAATAGCTACGGTAACTGAATCTTACGAGTCTGAATCTGTTGAATCCCTTTCCTTTATCTTTGTGTGAACTAGGGAGTTATTTTCTTAGGCAAATGTCAAACCTCTCTTATCTGACTGTGGACTTGTTTAGTAACTTTCCAGGACATTCCTTCTGCTGTCTGCTGTAGACAGTAACAGACAGGGACATCCAGAAACTATGGACTCATTGGGAATTTGAACATGGATTACTATAGTCATAATCTTTTGCTCTAATCACTATACTATGCCACGCAGATATTATACCATTTAGCAATAAAATCTAACCTGTTTCATGACAGGTTAGATCTGCAATGAAAACAGTCATATCCATTCCAACACTATGTCACAGTATGATCCAAGGAGCAGTTCATAATCACTGAAGTAAAATTATGCCAAGCGTGTTAAATAGAAGACTTCAAATTAATTATAATACATCTTGACATTTTTTTTTTTTTATCATTTACCACAGGGGATTATCTGGTGACAGTTTGGAATACTTCGGAACATAATTAGAAATACTCCACCCACACATCTCGCAAAAAATAACTATGGCAATCTTTGGGTTTATGAATCTTTTCGGGATTTCCCCAGACGTCATTTAGTAAGAAAATCTGTACTTTGTGTTTGCACTGCAGAACAATATCCAAAGGCTGTTAATGAGATGCAAAGATATATTACTGAAAAGAATAGAGTTCAAAAAGAGAAAGAAAGCAACAGAATAACTAAAACCACTGTAATCAAGTAAACCAAAACTGCAGCAGAGTTTATATTAAAAGGGGGAAAAAAATCAAATGGCCCATGGAGATCTTAGGATGCAGGCAAGACAGAATGGGAAACGCTGCAGCTATGGATAGTATACAGATGTCTACTACCCCGCTACGTCTCTAGTTACAGAAATTGGTTCATACATACACATTGTCTTCTACACATATTTTAGGTCCAACTACGTTGGCGGCTCCACTTGCCATTTTGAAAGCAAAATGATTCGCTGGACATGCTTTTGTTGTTCCACATTTATACTTTGGGGGCTTTGTAGCTTTGGGGAAAGAAGGGAATATATTTTAATTTAAGGAATGCAATAAAAATTCAAACTAAAAACAAAAAAAAAGATACAATTACAGACATTGCAAAATAAAGGCAAAGTACATAATGGTAAAATGCAAGCAAATAAGTCATTTGAAACTCAGGGAAATGTGTCACCTCTCCTGCAGGAGCTAAATTGGTTGCCGATTTGCTTCCTGGTGCAATTCAAGGTGCTGGTTGTCACCTTTAAACCCCTTCATGGCTTGGGACCAGATTATCTGAGGAAACATCTCTTGCCAGTGACATCTACCCGACCCATTAGAGCGAGGAGGCAGGGAATGTTGCGGGTCCCACCCCTGAGGGAGATACACCTGGTGGGATCCAGAAGAAGGCTCCATGGTGGCTCCGTCTCTCTGGAACACCATTTCCCTAGAGATTAGAATGGCCCCTTCACTAATACTCTTCCGAAAGACACTGAAGACCTGGTTTCGCCAGCGGGCCTGGGGAACCCAGAGAAGGATGGAGCCCATCAGGTGACTAGTGTGATCTGCTGTCGTCAGGGAGGGGGGGGGAGTTGGGTTTTTATTTTTTGATGTTCGCTGCCTTGAGTTATTTGTAAAAATAATAAAAGATGGGATATAAGTAAGTAAGTGAATGAATGAATGAATGAATGAATGAATGAATGAATGAATGAATGAATTTTATATTCTAATGGATGATGATAAATAAGGAACTAGATATGAATTCTTGGAAGAACTGTGAAACATTCTGAATCCAGGGAAGCAAATTATTTTGTTATGCAACATGAACAGATAAGTGGAAATGAGATGCAAGTAGAGGAAAGAGTTTTGAGTGAAAATAATGAATCTTTACTAAGAAAGTGATCTGTTTCAAATGCATGACATAAGCATAAGCCCATTCATAAATATATATGGCAATGGAACAAATTTAAATCTAAAGGCGTGATTGATATTGTTTATAATGAAATATTGGGAATATTATCAAAGGATACACAAGGAATGAATGCTTCTGAATGTGGAAATGGATCTTTTTTTGTAGTGACAAGAAAGTATGTGGAGGAAAATAAAACATGTACAAACAGCTATTGTGAAAGTAGAAAGCCTGCAGAAATAAAAAGTGTGAATCCAGTATGAAAAAAGTATTAGAAGATAGATTACTCTCCCCTAACCAAATGAATAGAAAGAGGAAATAGAAAATGCTTGGAAGGGAGTGAAAAGAAATATGTTACTGATTATTCCCAAAGTGTGTGAAGTTAAGCTAAAGGGAAGTATGAAAAGGAACAGTAAGTAGAAAGGGAAAAAGACTATGGGTGAGAAAAGAGGCAATGATGGGAATAACTGAAGAAAAACGAGAATGAGAGAAAGATATTGTGTAATGTGTACTGGGAGAAAGACAGTTGCAAAGAAAGTAGTCATAGAAAGCAGTGAATGGTTAAGATTAAAGGAGTCTGAGAAAATGTTGAACAAAAGGAGTTCTGAAGTGGATGAACGAGTCCAAAACTACAGCTTCCTGAAAAGTGAACAGAAATAAAAATAGAAGTGATGAAATGATTCCAAATGAAACTGAAGTGACTGAATGCCAGAAGCATTTCAGAGTATTATTTGGGAATCAATGACATGTCAAAGAATGAGGTTGAAAAGTTTAATGCCTTTCATTAAATCATTTATTTAATGCATTTATGGATAAATGTGTAAGGAAAGCTGGTGGCGATGATGGAATCATGAACGTATGTGTGCTTTGGTATACAGACAATCCTATGTTGTTGAATGAGAAGCCAATGATTTACAATGAATGTTGGCTCTGCAAAGTAATATCTGAACAATGAAGTGTAATGTAATGCAATATCCAAACAATGGATGCGGTATCAACACCCAAGCAGTTGTGTTTGACAAAGGAAACTGAACTGTAGGTAATAACAATAACCTATATTAACAATAACCTATAATAACAAAAACCTATAGCAAGGCAATTACATTGTGTATCTTAGTACATTTTAAGAGGAGAAAATTGCTGTAGAAAAGCAGTGAACATTGTCATCTAAAGAATATTTTTTGAAATAATTTTAAAAGGCTAAACCGTATATAAGATCATGCTTGTTTCCATACTGTTGTGTGAAGAGCTGAAAGTAAGCTGAACACAACTGGAATGGGACACTTAAAAGAAATTACCTGAATGTGGCCAATCAAGAAGAAATAGTGTCAAGAATGTATCCTGAATGAATGATTAAAGTGAGCTAACAGAATGAAAGCAACAGAGGTTGTTTAGTCAGACAGAATAAATGTGGACTAAATTGCACAATACATAAATGAAGAGTAAACGGTTAAGAAAACAAGAAAATTGCGGATGAAATTGATAGAGCCTCAAAGCTACAAAAGATACACACACACACACACACACAAATAATTTAAGGCAATATGTGAAGAGTATTTGGTTGAGGTGGAAGCAAGGATGATTTTGAATAAAGAGAAATGTATGAAGAAATAAAGTGAATGGGACTTCTAAAAATTTATTTATTTTATTTTATTTAGTATTGCTGCCGATTCGCCTATGGCGACTTGAGGCGGCTTACACAATGTAAAACCATATTTAAAACAAAAATAAAAATAAAAATAAAAAGCCATAAAAACTAACAAAAAGAATCAAATAAATTAGTAAAGTACAATAGAACAAAATTTGGGAAAACAAAAACAAAAACAACAACAAACCAACTCCCACCCTCCACCCCGCCAACGCGATGACAGATCACACTAGCCATTTGATGGGCTTCATCCCTCTCTGGGTTCCCCAGGACCACTGGCAAAACCAGGTCTTCAGTGCCTTTCGGAAGAGTGCTAGAGTAGGAGCCATTCTAATCTCTGAGGGGAATGATATGTCAGAGAGGGAGCCACCACGGAGAAAGCCCTTCTTCTGGGCCCCACCAGGGGTATCTCCCTCAGGGGTGGGACCCGTAACATTCCCTGCCTCCTCGCTCTAACGGGTCAGGTAGAGGTGACCGGCAAGAGACCTTCCCTCAGATAACCCTTTAATTTAATTACATATCCTCCTCCCTCCCACCCGTTTCCTATTTTGTAAGTGCTTTGCAAAGCTTCATAGATTCAGTCTGAAGGTTCAATCTAAGCACGCTTTCAGAACGAATGAAGATTTGCTCCAATGCTTAAAATGGTATCAGGAAGCTACAAAGATTTGCAAACCACTTTTTTTTTAGATTTCAGGCTTTTTTTTTCTGTTTCTGATTTTTTACAGGCTTTACACAATATTCCAAATTCACTTCCACAGATGGAAAACATTGGAGGGAGTATGAGGAGTGGCGTGAACAGCTCTTGACACGAGTAGTGACCTAATATATTTAATCATCTAATTAAACTGGCTGCCTCTTAGAACTCTTTTAGGACCAGAAGAGTGACATTACTCAAGCTTCATTCATTTATTCAGCTTTCAGTTTCTTTAAGGTGGCCAGCTAGATACTTGGAATTTACTCTCTATTATGCTAATTGAATTTTACATTTCTAGGCTGGTTCAGCCAACACAATAGAAGCTCAACTCTGCTGTTGGACTAGATTCAAAACCAACCATTCCAATACATATTCTTGGCTCAAACCAATAAGATCTCTTGGGAACAAATCTTACTTTTAAATTCTGCATACAGGTAGTTCTTGACTTAAAACCCACATGACCAACCCAATTTTATAAAACTTTTGGGGTGATTGTTAAGGGAATGCTACAACCAGAAATGCTGGTTTTGGGTAAAAACATAAAATGCTGTTTGCAGGATGCGGCAAACAGCCATAAATGCAGGCAAGGATATCAAGGCCCAAAATGCAGTCATGTGACGGGGGGGCGGGCAGATGTCAGAGAATTGGAACTTGGAGACAACTAGGGAAGCCCAACATAACCTCACATAGTAACTAAGTGCTAGGTTGTAAGTTGAACACTACTGCTCTGAAAGGTTTAGGCCACCACTAAGAGTGAATAGGTATCAAATAAACACATACAGAGCTGGTCCAAATAGAGAGTTGTTAATACTGAAAACATACATGTTTCCATTGTAGTATGAACCTCTGAATTTCTAAGACCCTTTTGTCAGGCTGCTCAATCTGTCTTGGTTAAGAAGGTTTATGTGTTTATTTAATTCCTTTTCTCCAGTTTTAGTGACTCTGTCCAACTTCTGTGGATTTAATGATAAACTGTGACAAGTAGGGGACAAAAAAAAAATCAACTCCTTTGACAATTTTCAAACGAAGTGACTTGCTATAGACCACGGTTCCCCAACCTTTCTGGGTTGGTGGCCCAGAGCGGTGGGGGAAAGTTTTGTGGGAGAGGCAGGCACATGCTCAAATGGCAACACCCATTGCTTGTGCTGTAAGCGCTCACACGAGTGGGCCACGAGCGTGAGCACCTGCAAGACTTGTGTAAGTGGGGCACTGAGCCCTCACACAACTGAGGCTGTGAGCGCATGCACAAACTTGTGCACCAGCCAGCCACTCATGCTGCTCAATTACAAATAGGTTGCGGACCGGTAGTGGACTGTGGCCCAAAGGTTGGGGGCCCTTGCTCTAGACCAAAGTGAAAATGTCATATTTTTACCAAATTATTTTGGGTGGCATTAATCTGAAAGTCAGCATCTCCTTGCCTAAGTCTTCATGCCCTTCAATCTTTAAAAAAAAATGAACCCAAATCAAAATAAATACTAAACATTTAGATGAATGAGAGTCATAGGTTTAAAAAGATCTTTATCAAAAATATAAGTGCTGGGGAAGATAAAGCTTTCTAAATCTTTACCTGTCTCTTGAACTGCTGACTTTTTATTTATCTCTTACTAGGAAGCTGGTAGACAACCTGAATTCTGAGGAATTTCACAAGTCTTTCCCTTCAAAATCGGCACCAGCCTTGCACAGCTCACTAGGACATCCTTACTGTACTAGATATCACTAATGGATCTTAAGTATGATGTATTAAAAATACCAATAAGTAACAACTGTAATGCAGAAAACTCACTTCGCAATGGTAGGTCCAATGCTGATCTTGCTAGAAAAATTAACATTGAAATAAAGACATATTAGAAAAATGTTTTTCTTAATTATGCTTTTTATGGAATTGTATGTCATAATTCCTAACTAACCAAATTAAGATTTGAAAACGATAGCTTATCATTATATTTGATGACATGGTTACCAATTGTACAGTAACATTTTGGTCCAATTGACTACAACATTATGCTGTACTAGAGAAGATGACTACAGAATATATACCATGAGTTATATACATATATATACTAATTAGTCATACAGTAAATCTTTAGTTTAAAAGATCTCAGTTTGGTGGACTTCAGACACAATGACCATTTTTCTCATTTGTGTTTCCCCCTCATTTAACAACCTTTTAATGGCCTTTAAACTGGAGGATTTGACTGTTAAATCAAAGCATTATTGTAAATGATGCCATTTATGTCAAGTATGTAATTACACCAATGTTATAAATTGTATTTAAGGGTCATCCCCTTCCCTCAAAACATCCATTAAATCAATGTAAACAAATCAGAAGGGAATATTTAAAAAAGCAAAACTGACTTGTTTGATATAATTTAAAATTACTATACTTATCGTGACAAATCTTATGACAGAAATGGGATTCTGAACTGAAAGCATAGCCAAAGTATATGAAGTGTACTTTTGTCTACAATCCTTAATTGATCTACGTGTGAGTAAGTCTCACTAATAGGATTGTGTTTGAGAACACCGGTACATGACTGCATTGTGCTTAAATAATGCAATTCTGAGTGAAAATAACTTAAGTGGGTCACTTACCAAACAGATTTCCTAAACTGGCGTCCATTTTTATTTCAAATACTTGAGATATGACATAAAACATCAGCAAGAACACAGCCACTGCTATTACCAACTTTGCTGCTCCTAATTTAAATAAAGCGAAAAGAAGTCACTGAACAACTTTACAACTGCCTAATATAATAAAACATCCTCACTGCTACTACAATAATATTGGGAATATAGCTATGTCCAAATAAAGCAATGGCAATATTTTATGAAACAAATATTTTGATGAAGAACCTCTTGTTAGTTTGATTAGAAGCAAATTATAGGAGTTTATCTGCATAAATATATGATTTAGAAATAATAGTAGTGGGAACAGATGTGAAATTTCTTTTCCGCTAAATAGAAACAAATTGACTATTCTTATTCTTATTTCAGGTGTATAAGCCAGTAAATATATTTTAAAACTATTACAGGAAAACAGAAGTCCTGGGTTGTTTTGTTTTTGTAAAAAAAAAAGGGTGGGGGATTATAGATGATCATTCTATAGTCACCAAAGAGTCTCAATAAACGTGGGATTTTTGTGATGCGATCCCAAAATCCTTGGAAAAGGCAGTTAGTAGAAACATACCTATTCACATATCCATAATGCTGCCTTCCAATTTAACATAGGCATTCTGAGTTATTATATCTTAGGGCAGCATAGAAATACCTGTAGCCTTGTTTTCTGCAATAATTAAGGCACCAGGCTAGAATCTGGGAGACTGGGGGCTCCAGTTCTGCCTTTAGGCATAAAACCAACTGGGTGACTAGACAGGGAAAGGCTATTTAAGGGTTCTTTCAATTTTAAAGCAATTCAAAGACCTTTGAATTATACATTCTAAAATAACAGTAATATGGTAGTTCTGAAGTCATAATTCTATAGGTAAGAACTATTAACATCTAAGATTCTCATAAGCCCATGTATTTGCATGGTAACCAGTCTGCTCAATGACAAAGGGTAAAAATGGTGTTATACTTTCAATTAGACTTACATTATCTCACATACATACATACAGGTAGTCCTCAACTTACGACCACAATTGAGACCAAAATTTAATGCTGCTAAGTGAAACGGTTAAGTGTGCTTTGCCCCATTTTACAAACTTGCTTGACACAATCGTTAAGTGAATCACTGCCGCTGTTAAGCTAGTAATACGGATGTTTAGTGATGTTTACGGATGTTTCCCCACTGACTTTGCTTATTAGAAGGTCACAAAAGGTGATCACAAGACCTCCAAGCACTGTCATAAATATAAGCCAGTAGACAAAAGTGTCTGTATTTTGACCACATGGGATTTTTGCAAGTCATAAGTGTGAAAAATGGTCGTGTCGCTTTTTTTCAGCGTAACATTAAACGGTCACTAAACGCACTGTTGTTAAGTCGAGGGTGGGGTGCATGAAATGTTTGGTTCTGAATTTAAAAGAAACCCTGCACGACAGTAGTTCAGCCAAACCATTCTAGGCGGACCAAGCTCTGGATGAAATGAGAGTCAAAGGTTTTGTTTGTTTTAGCCAAAAGAAAATCTGCAGTGATTTGAGAGAGAGAGATAAGAAGGCGAGTTAGAACAGAGGGAGGGCATCTCGCTCCCTCATCGCTCAGCAGCTCCCAATGTCCCCCTGATCTTCTCTTCCCTCTCCTTAAGGTCCTGTTTTGCAGACTCTTCCCCACTCTTAACCCTCCCCTCTCCAAATACTTTGGCCTAGAAAAACCACGTTTCGCTCCATCCCCAGAAAAAAAAAAGTCTGCTTCATTTTGGATAGCTAAAAGGATAGGATAGTTTGGATAGTTTGTGCATGTCTGGGCACAAACTTCCCAAAAGCACCTATTCCTTGGTGCAGAATGATTCTTGTAAAAACCTTCTTTCTTTTACATTTTAATTCCCTTCATAAAAACTTGGGGGATTCACTGCAGTACACGTCTCTTCATTCATGTATTCAAAGTAAATGTGGAAAATTAAGAAATAGATAGGTAAATAAATAAGACGGAAATAAAGCTAAATTCTTTCCCCTGTATAAGTGAAATTTGCTATCTGTAACACTAGAAATATTAATTCCCCTTGCCTAGCAGCATTCTTTCCTATTACCTTCCCTTCCTTTGCAGCCAAGAGAAAAAATGCTGCTTCTTTTAGAAAATAGAAAGTTTAAAAGGAGAGGCTTTCCTCTCTAAGACTGGAAGGAGTCTTAAGCTTCTAGTCCTTTCCATGCAGTTAGTTCCCTCTGAACTGAATAGGAAAAGCAATTCAGTTCCATTTCTCCTCCAGATTAGGGTATTAACTCTAATACGTCAGACATAAATGTAGTACGATACTGCAAGATACTTTTCATTTTGTTAAACTTCTGCCAATCATGCATTAGGTGACATTACCCAATAATTGTTTGAGTAATCTGTATATGTCAGGCAATAATAATATTTAACTTAAAATTTCTACCGGGCTAGACTTGGTAAGGAAAACAAATTGCCATGTCATTACCTAAAATATTTTCCACCGTTAATCGTTTTTTCCTGCCTAAGAAATACTAACGTCGTCATTGTAAACATTAGTGTGTGTGTGTGTGTGTGTGTGTGTGTGTGTAAAACAGTAGTTCCAAGTCAATTATAAGAACTTAAGACCAAAATCATTTCTAACTGCTCTTATTTCTAGTTATTGATGCGCTGGAAATTGGTGAAGTGATGTAGTTCAAACTACACTTAAATTAAATTGGATATGAACCACCATTTAGCTTGAGTTTAAACACAACAGACACTTCTCAAACTATCACAAGGCAATCAGCCTAAATACGGGTCCATTATCTCAAATTTTAAAGCTTCACTGGAATGTGGATTTCAGATAAATAGAACCAGTAAAACTTCTTTTTCATCATTCATCATGGTTACAGGATAGAAATACTCACTGTGACTCAAATGAACTACTGATTTCCAGAGATTTTATTTTAGTTATAAGTCTTACCTGCTATTCTCATGTTTATCTTCCCTCTGTTACTGGCACAATTTCATTTAACCAGCTACCTGCAGAATAAGGAAAAATAGTTTCAACCAGAAGAGTATAAGCAAGGAGATGCTTTGATTCATTTATTCCACTGAAAAAGCCTGTTATTCTCTAAGATGCAATGATAATAGTAATGATATCATAATCTCTGTACCCAAAATACACAAGGAAAATAAAGGTCAGGTCAGAGACTATTAAAGGGTTAACTAGATCTTTTAATTTTGATATACATTTTCATCCCATAAACATACTTTTCATTTCATTTTTTAAATAGAAGATTAAAAACAGAAACTACAAGTAATACTTGACTTACAACAGTTCATTTAGCAAATGTTTGAAGTTACAACAGCGCTGAAAAAAGTGACTTACAACCAATCCTTGCACTTTATTTATTTTATTTTATTTATTTGATTTGTCAATCGTTTACAAGATAATAGATGTAAGTATAAACACGAGTAAGAATACAGGAAATAGGTACAAATAAATGAGGAAAATAGGACAGAGACAGGAGGCATGATGATGCACTTATGCACGCCCCTTACAGACCTCTTAGGAATGAGGTGACGTCAATAGTGGTTAGTTTGAGGTTAAAGGAGTGGGGGTTAGAGGATGTAATAACAGAGTCAGGCATTCCAGGCATTGACCACTCTGTTGTGTGCTCTTGTATTGTTGTGGTTGAAGCTGAAGTAGTCATTGACCGGTAGGGCATTGTAGCAGATAATTTTGTGTGCTACGCTTAAGTCTAACCGTAGGTGGCATAGTTCAAGGTTGTCCAAGCCCAAAATCTCAAGCCTGGTGATATAGGGCAGGGGTTGCTAACCTTTTGGACCTCAGGGACCACCAAACTCATAATTTTAGATCCCAGAGACCACTAACCAGTTCTGTGGGCATGGCCTAATTTATAGGTGTGGCTTGGTGGTCATGTGACTGACTGGGCATGGCTTGTATGTAAATATTATAAATATTTATATAAATATTGGATTTTTTATTAAAAAGGGCAAATTTTACCCCAAAACAGGCAAAGTAGGCAGACTTGAGTTGCTCACAGAATCATTCAGTGATCGATTTATCTGCCACCGGCTAGCTCAGTCTCTCAAATTTGCTTGCCGTGAATCTGCACTGAATTTGCTTGTAAGCAAACCTTCAGTCCTAAGGGAGGTTCGACTGTGCTGAGCCGAAGATCTAAAGACTAGCTGGAAAGCAAGAAATCCAACCATTTCCTGCTTCCTAGCCTAATCTAAATCTCTCAGCACAGCAGAACAGATGATGGTCGGAAAAAGGAAAAATAGCAATTTAGCAGGAAAGTTTAACGGGTAAGGAATGAGTGGATGGGGAGGGTTCCCGCAGGCCATGTGGATGGCGCAGCCTTGTGTTTCTGTGCAGCCTGGATTGATTGCTTTGTGGGGGTGCTCTGGGGGTGATATTTCCCTGTGGCCCATCAAAATTTTCTCACAGCCCACCGGTTGGTGACTGCTGATATAGGGTATTATGTTGCGAGCAGACGAGTGTAGCACTCTTCTCGTGAAATACTTCTGGACTCGCTCGATTGTATTAATGTCTGATATGCAGTGTGGATTCCAGACTGATGAGCTGTATTCGAGTATTGGTCTAGCAAAAATTTTGTATGCTCTAGTTAGCAATTCAATATTTCCAGAGGAGAAGTTTCATAAGATTAGATTTACAACTCTTAATGCCTTTTTGGCAATGCTGTTACAGTAAATGACTTAGGTCATTTGATATGAGAACTCCAAGGTCCTTGACAGAGTGAGGATCATCAACGAGGTCATATCCGCCTAGTTTGTATTTGGTGTACTGATTTTTTTTACCAATGTGTAGGACAGAGCATTTGTTGTTCGCGATTTGGAGTTGCCAGATGTTTGACCATTCAGACACATAATCAAGGTCACTTTGAAGGACAGTAGCATTGTCAGTGGTGCTGAATAGTTTTACGTCATCTGTAAAGAGGACGCAATTGCTTATAAGGAGCTTACAAAGGCTATTTATATAGAGTATAAAGAGTGTGGGTCCTAGAATGCTGCCTTGGGGGACACCGCTGTTAACTAGAGCAGGGTTTGATATAGTGCTCCTTATTTTTACTATTTGTTGCCTGTTTGACAGGAACGCAGTAATCCACTTATGGAGGGATTCGGAAATGCCGTTTAGAGTTTAGTTTTAACACTAGTTTGTCATGTACCACTGAATCAAAGGCCTTGCAGAAGTTTATGTAAATTACGTCTATAGCTTTACCCTGGTCAAGTAGAGTAGTCCATATGTTTTTGCAGTGTAGGAGTTGTAGATTGCAGGACAATTTTTTTCCTGAAACCAAATTGTTTTTTGGAGAGTAGGTTGTTTGACTGTAAGTGGAGAGTGATTAATTGGTTAATGATTGATTCCATGACTTTGCATGTGACACAACACAGTGAGATTGATCTGTAGTTTTCAACCAGGCTGGGGTCACCTTTTTCGAAGATAGGGATGACTGTAGCTAAAGACCATAGGTTTGGTAAGGAGCTAGTTCTGAATGATATCTCATATATAATGCTTAGGGGTTCCACTATGGCAGAGGAGAGCTTTTTTAAGAAGTATGCACATAATCCATCGGGGCCAATAGATAGGGATGGTTTTAGGTTTCGTAGTGCCTTTTCTAGTTATCTTCTGAAAGTCAATATGTAGTAGGTTGTTACAGTTAGTTGTGGTATGACTAGGAAATGTGAGGCATGAACCATTGCTGTTTACAAAGATTGAACTGAAGAATGTGTTGAAGAGATTGGCCTTAACAGCTTCATTGTTGCAGTCTTTCCCATTTGGTCCTTTTAGGGGTGGGATGGTTCTTGATTCCTTAAGTTTGGTGTTCACAAAATTGTAGAAGGCATGCGTAGATTTTATACATAGGAGGTTTTCCTCTTGCTTGCAGTGGTAATTTGTGCGTTCTGCCTTTATCTGTCGGCATAGGGTATTGTATTGGTTTTTAAAGTTTGCTACATAGCTAGTTTTGTTTTTACACCATAGCGATTTTTTTTATTGAAGTTTCCTTATTGTTATGGGCAATTTGTTCTTTTTGGAGGGGGGGTGTTATTAATGGTACATGTAGTTTAATGACTCTTTCAAGTTCAAACAAGAATGCATTACAATGGTCTTACACCTAGAGAACAGAATGTGCCAATCAAGAGACAGGTCAGCATCTAGGAGATCATAGTTGGCTTTTTTGCTAACTTACATCCGTCGCAGCATTCCTAATGTGATCAAAATTGGGATTATACATATTTATGATGGCTGCAGTGTCCTGGAGTCATGGTATCACCATTCGAGACCTTCCCAACCAGCAACTGACAGACAAATCAATGGGGGAGCTGAACACATTTAATGACCATGTGATCACTTAACAACTACAGGGATTCACTTAGAACTACAGCAAAAAAGGCCATAAAATTTGGTGCAATTCACTTAATAACTACCTTGCTTAGCAACAGAAACCCTGGGCCCACTTGCGGTTGTAAGTTGAGGAATACTTGTACAGGATACATAACCCTAAAGATATGACAGAAACTCATTTAATGTATCAACACAGCTATGATTTTTTTTATTTCTACCTTAGTGGAATCATGAATATCCACTATGTATTTCCCTACATCACTCAGTTGCAAACTGATGCATATGGTATAAATTAAGAAACAGCAAGTATACTATGTTCATTTGCACACAATCAGCTACAATTTCACTTCACTCTGAAAAAATGCTAATTATATTATCCAAGAAATCAATGCAAAGGATTGCATAACTAGTTTGAAAACTAAAACTCTTTAATCAGCTTTCAGTTCTCAAAGATTTCCCAAAAACAACTGAAGAAATGTCACATGGTATAATTAAAAAAAAAAAAAACTAAAATGGGGACAATATGCCACTGAAGTTCACAAACTCTTTGATTCATTAAATGTACAGTGCAATAATTGTCCTATCAGTTAGAAACAGGAAAAGCTAAATGGTTTCCAGCTAAAGACAATTTGCAACATTTCTGAATATTTCCTAAGTCAAGACACACAAAATTCATAATAGAAGATGAAAAGTAGAAGACGCTAATAATTGTTACTTGGCACTCCCAACTAAAAGTAAATACTGATAAAAATGAGAATGGACTGTTGAGAATAAAGAAAAATTAGTGGTAAGAATTATTTTCTTGATACTTAAAGTAAAACACTGGGTTAAAAGCCAGAATCCAAGCATTAGAATCCGTTCATATACATTTGAAATACGGCAAACCTCAAAATCCAAAGCCTCTGAACCAACTTGGAATAATTCTTGTTACAAATATATATTATAACCTGGAATCAGTTTTTATATAAACCATTTCTTTGCCAATGAATATGTGAAGTTCTAACACTTTTCCCTCCTTCCTAATAATTTAGTATTTTTTATTTTAGTTGTTTACATTACTTGGGAATATAACTTTGATAGATTTAATTTCATTTTTTTTTTCTTTCCTCTACTTATTATTGTCACAAATATATTTGAAGAGAGGTGCCTGGAAAATTTAATATTGGCTAAATTAAAAATAACTAAAGTACTAGGAATTTTATACTCTAGATTCTACACCCAGTACAACTCTAAGCTATCTTATTTATCTAACCTTTTCCAGGCATTCAGCATATAATCTAATTCAAATATGGAGATTGACAACATTTAACCTTTTGTTGCATGAAAACCCTTATTAAAAACCTCAATTTTTTAAGTATTACAAGTATATGAATCTAAGAACACATAATAAGTAAGTCTGGTAAAATCCACACAGCTGCAGTACTGGCAATCATTTGTTTGTTAGGCTTGTATCGTATCTTTAGCAAATATTTTTTTTCTACAGTATTTATTATATAATGCAATAATGCGTGAAGCATAATACATCCAATGCTTTCTGCTGAACCTTCACTCTGAACTTGCTACGAAAAGCACAGCAGAGACCTCCAGTACTTTGACTACTTACAGCACTTCTGAAGTGCAAACCACATTGGTGCGTTTGTAGGATCCA